TAGCAATCTGAACTTTGTTTGCTTGAAAGACTATCTAGAAACATATTCAATGCTTTAAGAATCAAAATGATACAATTGAAACATTAGGGAACAAAATGAGACAAATTCTATATTTTGGAGACCTCTAGTGTAATTAACCTATTTTATTTCAAGTTCAAACATTTTTATTTTGTTGGATTTAAAATTAATTGTATGAAAGACAAAAATTCAACACATATCAAAATTTATAAAATCATATGATTGATCATAAAAATTTTAATGTTTTAAAATTAGTTATACTTTTTAGAAAAGAAATTAAAACTAATTATATATGTTTACAATCAATCACAACAATTTATGGTGAATGATGAATTGCCTGAAAAAGTTATAACTTTATTTTAAAAATGTCTAGCATAACCTTTTAACTTTTTTTTTTTATGGTATGGATTTCTTTTTGGTTACGATATCAATTTTTGTTTTGGGTATAATAGAATTATCCTTTCTTTAATTTGTTTTTTCGCTCGATAAGTATTTTTTATACATTTCTTTCTACTGTCATTGAAAGACTTGGCTATTTTCTTCGAGATTTGCTTTTCATTTTTTTTCTAAGGCAAGTCCCATCACACAAGAAACCTTTGTTGAAAATGCTTATTCCATCAGCCGCCCTAAGGCTATGTTGAAAATCTACATAATAAATTAAAAATGTGTTTGAATTTTATTTTAGTAATATTTTTTTTCTCAAAATTATCATTAATCACTTACCGCACTCATCTTTCATTTGTCAAACTTAAACATCAAATCAAATCATTCATTTTAATCACATATTTAATCATTTATATATTTTCTCCCTAAAAATATTACATCACTCATTTATGTGATCTATTTAATTAATTTATAGTTAATATATTTTAAAAAAATTTAATTTAGTGGGATTAATTTTTTAGACGCTCGAATTTATATACTAGTCATAACCCGTGCCTAAAGGTACGATAAAATATAAAATTTGAATGTTCAAAAAATCGATCTCACTATATTAAATTTTTTCAAAATATATTAACTACAAATTGATTAAATATTAAATAATTAAATATATGATAGAAATGAGTGGTGTGATATTTTTAGAGAGAAAATATATAAATAATTAAATATGTAATAGAAATGAGGGATGTGATTTGATGTTTGAGTATGACAAAAGAATGATCGGTGAGGTAAGTGATTGATAATATTTTGAGGGAAAAATATGACTGAGATAAAATTCAAACACACTTCTGTTTTATTTTATATATATATATATATATATATATATAGATAATGTTGTTGAATTATTTAAAATTTTGAATTATGTTGACTTGAACTTAAGTTTGGACTTAGAATTAGGTTTGAGCTTGGGCTTGGGTGGGTACGGGAGAAAAGGGGACGGAGATTAGAAATTTACCCACGGATAGAGATAGAGATAAAAATTATTACCGTTAACGACAGTGAATCAGGGATAAACAGAATTTTTTTAAACAGGTACAAAAATAAAGACTATACCCTCCATTCCCACTTGGTCCACTTACGTCCTTCCATCTGACACTTAGCACAATGGGGGCAATAAGACAAGAAATATTTACCAGTAGGACACAAGCCTATACTACCACGTGAGAAACAAGGCACCTAATGGAGGTGCATCAAACATCACTTGTCCTTGGACTTTGACATCGAAGGGCCCACTAATCACGTGAATGGAGATGTTCATCATGTTCACTGTTACGAGGATATGAAAATATATTTTTTTTTGAACCGGATATGGAAGTAGATTAACCACCTCTCCTTATACATAATAAATTAAATTTTGAGGAAAAAATTAATTTTAAAAGGGAATGAAATGTTATATGCATATTTTTAATATATTATTTTATGTATTTTAGGAGTTGGTTATTAAAAATTATTAATGAGTGAGTTAATGATAAAGGATATTTTGTGGATAATTTTTTCGGTGAGTAATGAATTAGATTCAATATTAATATAATTTTTTTATCATTTTATATTTCAAGACTTTTTTATGAATGAAATGGATAAGTCGAATTTTTGAGATAAAGTTTCTTGTAAAGTTGAAGAACATGTTTTTCTTGAATTGAACCACTAGAAATTTTCAATTCCTCTCAAAACGGATTTCTTTTTCTCAATTCTATTTTTATTTTATTTTAGAAATCTCTCTTAATAGTGTTCGTATCACTAAATTTGTACTATATATTACAATAATCAATTCAGGAGGGAGAGTGTTTGAGAAGTTTTTTCTTTTCAAACCATATTTTTTCATAATTTTAAATTATTTAATTGGCTTCCTCTAATCGAATTTCAACAAGTGACCTATGTATGTAATTGAATTTCAACTTTTTGATAACTATTTAGCATTTGAATATTTTTATTATCTTTATTAACTATTTTATATCTTTAATTTTTATAAAACATCAATTTAGCATAACAACTAATACTTTTCTAATAATATTAAGATGAGACAGAGGTATGGTTGTCGATGGGGTGGGGGTGAGAGTAGAGGTGGCGATGACAATGGAAATAGTATCGTCTCAGTTAGAAATAGTTTGAGCAAAATTAATTATTCAACGTGTCAATAACATATTCAGAAATTCAGTAGTTGTACACATCAATCATTGAGAAGAGATGATTAAATTTATTTAAACTTTACAAAATTTGAAATTGAGTGGTCCTGCTCTTGTTTGGGGTAAAGCTATTAATCTTAAATGACACGAGTAAATGTACAAACAACGCATAAGCAAGTGTCGGCAGAGCCACAGCATGTGTTTCGTGGGGTCGTGGGTGTGAGAGAGAGAGAGAGTTACAATTGTAGGTATGATTTATTGCACTACTTTGGATTTTTTTGTCCTGTCGACATACTTTTGTGGGTGAACTTATTTTATCCTAATGGATGTGACATGGAGTCTCTATGTGGGGTATATTCTCCAACGATGGAACATATTTATAATTAAAGGTCTGAGAAAAATATTAGTACTTATTAGATGAATTTTTTTAAAATTATCAAATAAATTTATTAAAATTTGTCTTATTTTTTTTGTATAATAAAATAATTTATAATTTAAATATTAAAAGATAAATAAAATGACTTTTATTATTCACTATTGAGATTGTTTTAAATTTTATTTTAAAATTAATTTAACGACTAATATTAACGCCTTAAATTTAATAATAAAAATAGAGTCTAATGGTGTGTTTGTAGTAACTCTTTAAAAGTATTTTTAGAAATTATTTCACATAAATATTTTTTTTTTAAAAAATAGTGTTTGAAATCGCCTTACCACTATCTTTACCACTATCACTCGCCACCACCACCTCTGCCCTTGCCCCCCCACCACCACTACCGCCACCACGGTCATTGCTACTCACCGTAACCATCACCATCTCCTACCACCACCACTGTCGCCCACTACCTCTCACCCCCGTTACAAATCGATATTTAAATTCATTTATCTATTCTCTATATCTGTTATTTGATTTTGAATATGAATACAAATATATTTATTGTTTATTATTTTTTATTACTTTGTGCTTTCAGGGACAGACAATAACTAGTATTATTTATTTTACATATTTTTGCTAATATTATTGTTAGGATAACACCACCATACACATTTAATATTGTGCCAAAATTTTAAATTTTATTACATATTTTTAACACAAGTTGAATCATTTAATTTAGACATTGTTCATATTCAATAATATACACATGTTAATATTTTTTTGAGTTTATATATTTTAATTTTTAAAAATAAAAATACTTGGTACAAATTAATTTTGAATTATATAATTAAAAAAATAAAAAAAATTAATATTTAATATAATTAAATCGATTTTTTGTATACTTCAATTTTATATTTTTTCGTGACTTGAAGCGTCGTTATAGCCAAGTACGTTTACATAGTACATAAGTAACATAACTAGCTCACAAGCGCCGAGCCGTTAAAGTTAAGCAGTTGACGGCGAGCCAAGCCAACCAACACCACACCCACATCGGGGGTTGGTGGTAGTTAGTGGTTGGTGAACACTAGCTCGGACTTCGTAAATGGCACACATTTGTAATAGCCAGTAATACCCTAGAAATTAGAAGAGTACTGTTGCGTGAATTTAAAAAATAAATTTAAAAATTAGATTTGATAATTATAATAATTAATTTTATTGTGGGTCCTATCATTTATTAGGACCCACTATCTATTCAATAATTGAGATTATCAAATTTAATTTTTAAATTTAATTTTTAAATTCATCTAGCATTACTGAAATAAGAATTACCGTAATTCGATTCTTTGGGGGTGAATCTGTCGTTTTCACTCACCCACTCTAAACAATCACAACCGTCGATTGCCGCAACACCGTGGGCCATGGACGCCTAGATTTCACTTAAGAAACCAACAACCCCCATTAAATGTGGACCCCGCCAATACTGCGAAATTTTGAGTTAAATAAAAAAAAAATCTTTGTGACTATTGGAACAATTTACAATTTGGGCCCTTTAAGTATGAGTTGTGTATCAATTTGATATATATAGTTAATTCAATTTGTTAACTTAGTCGAATAGAATAAAATAATGTCGTTAACACATTATTTATTAGCAAGTGTATGTGTATTTTCCTCACTAGTGATTATTAACCATTAATTACTGTCTTGGTTGTCTTCAATCCTCTTTTTCATTTAACATTTTTTTTAAGTAGATCAGAGGTTCATAACTATTGAATGTGATTGTATTTGTTCATTAGAACCAATCTATCATTCTTAGTGAGTGTCTTGTTTGATCACTTGGCTCTATTCCTTTACATCAAGTATGTAAAGTTAGATAGAAGGATTGAACAGGAACTCAATAAGACGTTGACTTGAATGTTCCACTTTAAATTTTGGGTACGCAATAAAATTTGACTCATGTTATAGGGGGATCAATTGTAAATATCCCCATGATTTACGAGACCGTCCGTCTATAAATACGGCCCCGAAGTCTAAGGGTAAGACTCGCAAACGTTTGGCCAACCCAAACAGACCCTCTCCAACTCTCGCTCTAACTCTCTGAAGTCGCTGCGGGGATTCTGTCTTTCCCATTACAGGTACATATCTCTTGTGTAATGTTTTTTCATTTTCGTTTTCGTACAGTGATGGTGGTTGTTCTTTAATGCTGTAATGGACTAGATCTGATCCTTGGTTGTTTGTGTTGTGTACGGCTGAGTGGATCTAGTCTTGACTATCGTGTCTCTTCATGTTTGAGAATCTTTTGAGGATAGAGAAGTTCTTTGACTTACCTATTTCAGTTGTCTTTGGGAAGAAATTTACTGGATCTTGATGCTCTTGCATGAATTTGTTCTAATTAGTCTCTTTTTGATGCCCCTTTTGTTGTCTTCGTTCTCGTTTGTTCGTTTACGGATCCAAGATTTAGCCTGGCCGAACGTATTTTCCTTATAGAAAGAATTTTGGGTACCAAGTACTTGGATCCTTGAAAAGTACGTCATAAATTATAGGTCGATGCTAGGCTGACCGAATAATGGGACATAAAATGCTGGTCAAATGATATAATGCTGATAAGTCAAGCAAAATTTGAATTTTAAATGAGTAAAAATGGAGCCAAAAGCACCACCTTTTCATCGTTTCATCCCCTTTTTGGTGCTCAGTTTGATCTATATGTTTAGTATGTGCGAACTATGGTTGTGTTTGGCATCACTTAAGTTTTTGTCAAATGTTACACCCATGTTTTCAACTTCCTTTTTGCTATAGAGTAATAATTTACTCTCTCTTCATCAATTTTTGGTGGGGGGGGGGGGGGGGTTGTGCAAGGTTTTCAAGATTTGAATCATTGATCTTATATTTTAGCACCACAATGAGTTTTTTTGTGGTTTGATATTGTTGTCTTCATCCAACTGTATTGAAGTGCAAGCAAAACCTAGAGATCTGATGTTATCACTACTTGTACATTAGTAGTTCTTGGCTACTGCTGTGCAAAGTGTCAAATCTAGACTTATTTAACTTCTGTTCCCAATTCTCAACCACCTCTATCCCTATACTCTGTTCCTCTCTCTTGGGTGGGTTAATTCTTTTTGTGTTATGCCTTTTTATTGCTTGATCACGAAGATTGGCTCTCTTTATTCTTAGGTTAGGTGTATGTGAGATATATTCTGTAAAATCTTTTGGCTGGAAAATCTTTTAGTTTGATAGCAGCATCTTGATACCCTGAGTCACAGATGGTGGTCCTTTAATCCCTTTGCATGTGGCTAGCCTGCCCATTTTTGAAGGGAGTAAGACAATTTCCTTGTTAGCCCCATCTCATATTCTCAATAAAGCAAAAAAACAAGTTGCAATTATTCGGACAGAATCAATTAGTTCTTGTTTTGGAGATAGAAGTATCTTTTAGGCCAGAATGTTGTACAAAGGCTATTTGATGGTGCTTTGCATTTATTCGTGCAAAATTGATTGATGGATTCTTGATTTGTCGATCTCAGTATCTTTTATTCCAGCGTGTTGTAAAAAAGTGCATTTGATGGTGCTTAACCACTTCACCTCGGTTGTATGTGTCTAAAAGCAACTGCACCAGATAGTTTGCTCTGGTATCATTGTGAGAATAATAACTACTATTATTATTGCTGTTAGTATCATTGTGAGAATAAGTGCTTTTTAGAAGTGGGCTATAGCAGTTCTTCGATACCCTTTTGGTATTCCATTTTCATTTCATTATGTACATAAACTAAATACTTTCATCTTTAGCACGAGCCCTGCCTTTGTATTTGTCGTCTTGGATGGATTATTCTTCTTGCTCCTTTTTCATTATTTCCTTTATGCTTCAATTTATATGGTATTTTCTGTATCCCTTAACTATGTGGGGGTACTGGATCATTCACACATTTGAGTTTGGGTTTGCAGCTTGTTACAATGGAAACCTTCCTATTCACTTCCGAATCTGTCAATGAGGGACACCCAGACAAGCTCTGCGATCAGGTTTCTGATGCAGTACTAGATGCCTGCCTCGCACAAGATCCTGACAGCAAGGTCGCCTGTGAGAGTTGCACCAAGACCAACATGGTCATGGTCTTTGGTGAGATCACAACCAAGGCAAAGGTAGACTATGAGAAGATTGTACGCGACACATGCCGTACAATTGGATTTGTTTCCGATGATGTTGGCCTTGATGCTGACAACTGCAAGGTTCTAGTCTATATTGAGCAACAGAGCCCTGATATTGCCCAGGGTGTCCATGGCCACCTTACCAAGCGTCCTGAGGAGATTGGTGCTGGTGACCAGGGTCACATGTTTGGCTATGCCACTGATGAAACCCCTGAACTGATGCCTCTGAGCCATGTGCTTGCAACAAAGCTTGGTGCCCGCCTTACAGAAGTCCGAAAAACTGGAACCTGCCCATGGTTGAGACCCGATGGAAAAACACAAGTCACTGTTGAGTACCATAATGACAATGGCGCAATGGTTCCAATTAGAGTCCACACTGTACTCATTTCTACTCAGCATGATGAGACT